CTCCCATAACTGGAACTCTGAAGGGAAAAGAAAAACAGTTCAAGTTAGAGGGGGTTCCAGTCATTGAGGTCGATTGAATTTTCAATTTGTCGTGTAAATAATTGAGATTTTACTGATATTTCAGCATGTCAGTAAACATCAGAGTGCAATTAAAACTTATCTCATCAGAAACTGTAACACAACTATGCATTTTTACAACAGGAAATGAATATGGATCTGTTCATTGCACTTATTTAAAAAAATTGCTGTAGTGTGAGTCTTAGTGACATGACAAGAAGAGCTAATGGGATAGCATTTGTAGTGAAATGCAAGTCATAATTCAAGTTATCAAGGTAAACAAAATTTAGTTCCAGTTAGCGGGAATTCGTGTTATCCAGGAAAAATGACTGAAAAGAAGGGTCAAACCCAAGAGAAATGTGACTTTGTTCATGTTAGCGGGGAGTTTGAGTTATCCAAGCTTGAGTTATCGGGGGTTCTACTGTTGGTGGGGGTATAATACCTCCATGCACCACTGTGGAGACACAGGCTGTATTAGACAGGCCAGGATAACCACCAGCAATAAGGCTGATTTTAACAAAAAAAAGACAGCTGTGTTGAAAATGTGGCTTATCTCGGCATTCCAAAACAGTTGGCAGTCCCTAAGATACCCTCTAGATTGCACTCTACTGCTGGTTGCTACCATTTTTTATTTATAAACTGGTTTTAATTATGTTCTCCAGTTGCTGATAAATATCTAGAAAGCCAAATTCATTTAGTAAGGATTACTTTTACCTTGTATTTGTTTTTCAGATACAATGAAAATTCAGCATAAAGCTCATGGTGCAAAGGTAAGATTGATTATTTTAGGGCAGCACAGCAAGCTGCTAATGCCAACTTAAGTTCAATTTATTCTTTATTGTCATTCACAACAAACATCTTTCATGTTTGCTTTATTGGGTTTTAAACAAATTGGAAACGTACTTCCGCCTTCATGTGCTCACCTCCTCTTCTAAATGACTGGTCACTTATCCCAGACTGTCCAACCTTTTAGGTATGTAAATTTGGGATATTTTTTAATGACCAAATGAATGCCACGGGTGCCAAGTGCACAAGCCCCCAGGGGGTATAGGGGATTGCTTGCCCAGAAAGTTTTGAAAACTTGATGCCTAGAAATGCTATTTCTAGTGTTCTGAGAGGACAAACCTGTGTCTAAAATGTTTGCTAAATCAATTGTCATTTTTATGCTTATTTTCAATAGTAATTTTTTACTACAAGTACTCGATTGTATTATATATTTTTTGGTTTTATTTATGTTTCCTGGATATTAGTTGTAGTTAAGTATACTCTGTTAGGTGTTCTTATATTAGTATCCTAAGAATTTATCTGAAAACATCAGAAAAGATTGTCAAAATTGGGATTTTTCCTATCTCGTTTGCATATTGGTCGGGATTCAGGACTTTTAAGCAAAATCGGAAGAATCCCAACGAGATCGGGATGATTGGACTGTCTAATAATTATCCATAACCCATAACACTGATGTTGTTCCTAGCAAAAGCACTTTGAACCTCTGGTACATTAAATGTATAATCAAACTTATGAAAACAAGACTACTGTTAGGGGATAATGGTTTCACATAATTTGTACTGATTTTAAACTGTCAAGAACAACCAGTTTGTACATAACACATATTGATCACATTGCTGACACATATGTGTCAGTGATATGGAAAGGAGTCTTTGCTGTTCCTTGACTGAAGAATGATTACAGGCGGTATAATTATATTTAGAAATCTTACCTTTTTTGTATGCAAACCATGAGGTAAAAACAACATGCTGTAGTTGCATAGAAAGTGGCGCGTACGGCTTTGAGCAGGTGCTAGCTTTCATCACCATTCACCCATGGGCAAATAGTAAATGAGTAATTGACCAATCAGGGTGCGCACTTTTTTTTTTGTAATGTTATATTTGATGTAATTGAGTTTGGGACAGGTGCAATCACCAAATGATGCAACACAGACGATTTAAAAGATACTGAACAATAATTCCCACACCACAACACAAAAGCCAACCAAGTTGGTTCCCAAAACCAAGAAACACCCCCTGTGAGTGATCACTTTTTGTTCTAGGAATTTAAGCTTAGGTTGTTGTTGATGTTTTTTGAAAATGTAATATACCTAGTAAGTAAATTTTGTTTTCTTTTCTATAATTACTTTAAAATAAATTGACTTTTTAGACAAGTGATCCAGTTATAAACACAGAAAATGATGAGGCCCTCATTTTAAAACTAGACTCCAGTCTTCATGACAATGGAATTGGTGAGTGAAATTAAGTTTCATTTCATTTAATATTTATCCCTATGAAAAAAATTCAAATTTCAATTCCCTTACTCTCTGATCATATGAAAAGAGATTTTAGCTGTCTTTCTTGGTCTCCAATGGTAAACCATAAATGGAAAATCTAGCTTTTCTCTTTTCATGCCTATTGTACATATTTAAAATGTACTAGCTCTTCACCTGAATAATAGGCATTTATGATCAACGTCAATCTGACATCAGCCAGAACAGATGCACTATATAATGGTGATGAAACCCTGTTCTGTCCTGCAATAATGTGCCTTCCACTCTACCCCCCCCGACTCAATAATTCAACAACAACAAAAAAATGAATAAATTATTGTATACCATTATACATAATTTTATCTTAAACTTCTCGACAGAACATGAAACAGAAATCTCTCTTTTCAAGAAAGAGGATTACAAGAAATACCAAGCTAACCCAATTTTAAAGTGGTAGTCAATACAAGGCTGTGCTCTAAGTAAAATTCTAGGAAGCCCAATGCTCTGAACCTGAGAATTCCAGGGTGCCGAGCATTTAATTTTAATGTAAAAATGAAGATTTTGTAATTGCCAAGGAGCAAACTTAACGCACCAGTGGCCTCCTGGCGCTGTTAGAGCACAGCCTTGAAATATGAATTAATTTTTAACCAAACTTAGTGAGTGAAATTTGTAACATTAACTTTGTACAGCTTCCAAAAATAATTTTATGATTTAAAACAACTTGATTCTTGTGACATAGTCAGTTTGGACGGTCACCTCAGATCACTTCTCTTTTCTGTTAATTTATGACTTGGTTAAGTCCACTTTGGACACAAAACTGAAAAGTATTATCTTGTTTTGAAGAAATTATGCAGTCCAGTATAGAATGTGCCTGCTTTCTTTACAAACATTTTAAAACAACATAAATATGTGAAAAAATGTTTGTAAAGAAAGCAGACACATTCTATACAGGGTTGTATATGTTAAAAAAGGCTACTTCTAGAAGATGAAAATGCAGCCCAAATCTAATATTTTTTACCGTTATGATGTATAGAATTATGAATACTTAAATTACCATTTATCATCAAAATAATGTATTATAAAGCTTAGTAGTTCTATGAGAGTGGTGTGACTCTTCAGTCCGTGACACAAGAAAAAGATTTAGGAATTTACACCAGCTAAAATATTATAATTATTCACAGTTAGAAGCACTGCGGTGTGGTGTGACTCTTCAGTCCGTGACACAAGAAAAAAGATTTAGGAATTTACACCAGCTAAAGAATTATAATTATTCACAGTTACAAGCACTGCGGGCTACTCTTCCTTTTTCAAAATTTTTCATTTTGGTAGTATAATTTATTATTTTATTTACCTGCTGGTGGATTTACCTGGTTGCTTTTACACCTTTACAAACTGCCGTTAAAACCACAAGTAGCGTGGGGAAACCACCTGGTGACTCAATATCTGGACCTGTGCAAGGTACCATAAATGATCTAATAAACGCCCGGGACTTTTTTATTAATTTTCAGGGGTACCCGACGAGAATGTAGTTCAAAACCAGTAGCGTATTTTAGTTTTTAAACGGTAGATATAGGCATATTTTTATCCCCTTAAAATTTTTCATCTGTTCGGATTTCCTAGCTGAAGGTCTACGTTTTCGAAAATTTCAGCCAGAAAAAAGGCTCCCGAAAATTCTAGGTGACCTTTTTAGGGTAAAAATCCGTTAAAAATGGGCAATTATACCATTTTTTAGATGTTCAAAAATCCTAGGAGAGGCAGACAAGCTGAAGAAATTTTACAGCAAATGTTTCGAAAATTCTAGATCTCAAATCATCTTCCGAACAGAAATTTTCCGAAAATTGACGTTGGGTGCCCGGCCTGAATTTTAGGAGCGCAAGCGGTAGCATTTAACAGATTGGAGGCATTTAAAACTGACCGTAACAAACTGAAACTGATACTCTTTCAGCGACTATATCACCACAGTTTGTAAACAGTAGACAATCCAGTCCATCCAGTGATGTTTCCAGGCCAATTTAGAGATACATATTTGTTTTTTTAAAAAATCTCAACTCCTCACTTGAACTTGGCGTGGAACAAGGTATAATGGGCAAACTCTTGTTAACCAAGTAAGAAAATAAATAATTTCAGTTATTTTGCTCTTTTTCTTTATTTCCTAAGGTAGTAATTTGGAGCCATTGTTTTGCGGGGCGTTTATTTGGTAGGGACGTAAGGGTTAGGGTAATACAAACGTAAGACGTCTGTTAGATCATTTGCGGAGCTCGGGTCACCTGTGTTAGATTTCACGCCTGCCTCTTGTAGATAAAGCGCGTTGTTAGATTAATAGATGTTTTTTAACAGATGAATCAATGTGCAAATAAACGGGATCATCAGAGCAAACCACGTCCTTGCGTATATTCTCTCTAGTCCAGAAGTCGGAGTTTCGCCTGGACTCTCTCGTAGTATAACTCGAACATTTTCAAATGGACCGTTATTTGGTTGTGGTTGAATTGCAAGCAGATGGCACATCAAAGGATATAAATCAACTATATTAAACGGCTGAACGTCGAAACCCTTCTTAAAAGCAGGACCTTGTGCGAAAAAGATCGGATAGCTTTGACTTTCCCGCGGTGGCCAACCATGTGTCCCGTAAACCCACGATGTGTTTGGGTTCCCGCGGGATTGTGTGACAGACCAACCCAACTCGGGATCAATGAATATGGCCAGGAGCCATATGGGCTCCTGATATGGGGGGTATTCTGCGATTGTGTTTCCAGTGGAATGATTCGGGGATGTCTTGTTTCTTGTAAATTTTCATGTGTGGGTTCTTTACCTTTGTGAGATTTTCAAATATTTTCTCCTGTTTCTCATCTTTTGGCCAGATATGTCCCAGAGCTGTTGATTCTGTCATCATGTACGCGGATCGGTCGAGATAATCATCTAAAAATATTTGACGGGCCGAAGAAATGTTATTAAAGCTATGATCGCTGACAAAGATTAAATTGACATTATCAATGAGGTTAACATCACGCAAGCGCTTAGTCAGATAACCAACGACCTCTCGATCAACCTTCTCAATGGCTTCCTTATACTGTTTGGAATGCGAGCCGTAGTCATGACCCTCCCAGTCTGGGTGATCAATATACACCCCTACAAACTGGGGTGGTTCCTTAGATTTTAACCAGTTAATTACCTTATCCAACCGGCTTTTGAATGGCTGAGTGTAATTAGGAAAACAGTGGATGTAACTCGGCCATGTGGGGCGTGTTCCCGGGGAAATCCCATATGAAACAGACGGGGATGCTCGTCGGAAATTTTGAATTTAACCCCTAAAGGAGACCATCTGGGCGTGGCTCAAGCTTTTTGTGACCCCTAAAGGAGACCAATTTGGGCGTGGCTTAAGCAAATTTTGACCCCTAAAAGAGACCGCTTAAAAACATACAACTACAACAACAACAACAAGTTTATTCAGTATTACCATTTTGTACAGGTGTTACCGATTAAAATAACAATAATAAACAGCTAAGTTTAAGGAAATACAGGTATGATGGAATGGTAGAATTAACTATGTTTCTTTCGTCTTTCAAATGCTTGAAAGATGAAATTAGCAGCTAGCCTGCTGATATGTGAATCAGTATTGTTAAAAAGGAAACAGACTTTATCATGGATATTGTAATGTGTAAATAATGTATTTCGGTCGAAATAATAAATAATAAATAATGTTAATAATAAATAATAAATAATGTCGTAATACGACATGCAACGAGTTTTAATGATATAAAGACTAATCATCGAATGCTTTTATCTTAGCCTGTTCCAAGCGTTCAGATAGTGGAGAGCGGTGCGATCTCCCCCTCCCTCGCTTTTATTTTTTTCGCGCTCTTTTTTACTTCGCACCGCTCCCCACTATCTGAACGCCTGGAACAGGCTACTTTTATCTAAAAGTAGTCTTTAAAAGCATTGTCATAAATCTCAAGTTCTTCGCGGAACCCTAAACGAGACCCTGGCGGCTTAAAATATTGGTGCTTTGCCCGGAACACCCTAAGCGAGACCAAAATCCGAAATTTACACCCCTAAGCGAGACGACGAGCATCTCCGTCTGTTTCATATGGGAGTCCCCCCGGGGGCATGTTCTGTTCCTGTATTAAGGAAGATCCTTCGGATCAATTGCACTGCAATTCACAAGGCAAAAGGGTTTCTCATAGTACGTGGGTTTTTCGGTGTAGCCTTCCTCTCCGGGCCAGAAATATAACCCGCTCTTTCCTCCTTGTTTCTGTAGCGTCAGCCAGATCGGTTCAGCAGCCTTATAGAACTTGGGATCCTTCGACGAACAGTCGTAATCGTAAATGTACATCTCTTGGTAAAGTGGATCCCAGAACTTGTTGGAGACAATACCGTGGCTTTATGGGTAAAGACCTGTTAGGTAGGAGTGGTGAGTGGGCCAAGTTTTTGTTGGGACAACATTGAAAGTATGCTTAGCTCGAACTCCGTTGCTACCCACTGCATCTAAGTTTGGAGTACCGGCAAACTGTCAACTTATGAACTGCCATCCCATGCCATCTAGGGAGACCATAATCACGGTGTCTTTGTTCGCTCGTTTCTCTTCTTTGGAAGAGATGCCGTTGAAAATGCAAAAGAAAAGGAAGCAAATTACAGGGCAAATACTAGTTGTTGTCCCCATTTTTATATTCTTGAAAAGGCTCGAGCGTTTGGCGTCTAGTGAGGCAGAGTTCGTGACGTCATGCACTCCCGCGATCCTACAGACCCTGGGTAGTGACGCGATATAACGCAGTCACCCCATATAACGCGATAGGCTAAATCTCCGCCGCCGTGTTGACACAAGCTTTAAATTTCGCTCTATCTCCTTTCAAAAGAGAAAATTTATATTTCAGTTCAGAGTATTCACACGAAACGACTGCGTCCTTTCAGGCATGGCAAAAAATTCATTAAAAGTCGTCAATTAAAAAAAAAAAAACAAAAGACGCAAGATATTTTTAAAAGGTTCCTCGAATCCTTGGCTTCATCAGTAGAAACTAAGACAACAAAATGACAACAACTGCTTAGCTTAGCAGCTAGCCTCTCAATCGTTGTTTCAGGTTTTAATAAAATGTTACATTCTAAAGTATAGTGCCATTTTAAAAAACAAGCTTCTAAAAAGTCCTGGTGAAAGCAATCACAAGTCTTTAGTGTCCGCTAAAAAGGACTTTGTCACGGCTTTCTTGTTCATTTTGTTAATAATTGAACTTGAAAAATTACTTATAAATCAGACAAAATCACAGCTTCTTGTCGGACAAAAATGTCTCCTAAGCATTTTTCAAACGTTCAGCAAACAACGAGATAAACTTTTTAAAGTTTTAAAAAACCACAGTTGCAATCCGTTTCGATCTTCTTCAAGTTTGTCGCCTACTTTTATATCTACTGTTTTATTTATAACTTATTTTACTGTTTTGAGCAGTTACACAGTACATGTTCAACTCAATTTGCTGGCGATCCCAACTGTCTGCATTTTGATACATCTTATGGCACAGCTCCTTTAACACCCGTGGGTGCCTGCTAAATACAGGCGGTTCGTTTAACAAGAAACTTTAAAATGGAGGAGAAGTTCAGGACCTACCGAAACGGTTTTCCGCGCGCTTAATACAAGTTTCTCTGCAATGAATGCTTGTTATGAATAAGGATTAACAAGTTAGCACTCAATTAACAATCATGGCTGCTAAATAGCAAGTTTTATACAATGTGCTCCAGGCCGTAGAAAAGACTAACCTATTCACATCTCTGTACTTCATACTGTCCAGTATGCGAACTAAAGCTTAGAAATGAACAAACGACAACAAACTTAGAAGAAATGTCACAAAACCATCATAACAGCAACAGCACCTGCGGCAACTAAAGCACGAGATGACCACGTGATCACGCTCCATTGACCAGCGGTCGGTTTCTCCCCGTCAGGCTCGTTGTCAGGCTCGTCTTTGTACATCTTCTTCACAGTTGCCATGGTTCCGTTGTTAGGGCGAGGTTCTATACCCAGTAAATCGCACATCATTGGATAAAGATCAAGAATAGAGAAGGGCTCTATCTCGTAACCCACTTTGAATGCAGGCCCTTGGGCGAATAAAATAGAATGCGTCTTCGATTTCTGTGGTGGCCAGCCGTGATCCCCTCGGACCCATGTTTCATATAATTAAACATCTCTCCATCCGTGCACTCAGCCTACAGTGTAATCAAGAGCAACAATATTTTCTGAGCAAGTAATATCTCCAAGAAAGAAGCCGCGATAATAATTATTATTATCACAACAAATGCTATCAACTATTGGCTTTTAAATTTTTAATTTTATTGACGTGACCAATTTTTGTTTCCTATATTGATAAACTACAAGCAGTCTCTCTTTTTTCTTAGTTCATCGAGCAAAATGCACGAGACATGCAAATGAACATTCACGTGACTGAAGGCGTGAGACGGGAGAGGCATGAAAAAAGAGCTATTTTCTTTGTGGGATGCTGCCCTCGTTTCTCGCGTGGCTGTGCACTCCCATTACTAAATCTGAAGAAAAAGAAGGACTGCTCACAGTCTACTATAATGAACACATTCATTCTCCCTTGAGAGGAATATTATTTTAAAAAAACCTAGGCCAATTTTTTCAAAGGGTAATTCGCACACATCCAGTGTGTACTATGAGAACTCTTCTGGACTGTTAGTACAGTTAACCCACCATCAAAAGTTAACCAGTTTGCAGGGTTGTCATTAAGAGCCAGGGGCCGGGGATTTTCCCTGGCTACTAAGAGAGTAGCCCCCGGCTACTTTTATCGGAAAATAGAAGAAAAATAGAACCAAAAGAAATCCCTGGCCATTTGATTCCCCGCCTACTTGTTGTATTTACCCGGCAACTTGAAATCTTAGTGACAACCCTGAGTTTGAGTAAAACTCAGCTCTGTTTTGAGTGTTAAAGCTGACTGATACCTTCACTAAGTTTGGTGGAACAAGCGTAACAGAGGAGCTGTATTTTTCCACCACAGGTGGGAAACCAACTGCTAACTTTGCTTTTAGATGACCTGGCTTTCTGATCAAAATAACTGAGTCCCTGCACCATGGAACAAAGTGCTTATAATCTTCAACATCAGAAACAACTGCATACATGTCCTCCATTGAATAACTGAAAACATAAAATATGTTGGAAAAATGAAAAGCTGGGTTTAAAGTGATCTCAGGGTTGAAATGATTTCAAACTAGCTTAGGGAACCTTAATTTTCATTGGCCATTGAAGGAAAAGAAATAAATTATGGAGCTGCCACTTTTGCTTTTGCTGGTTTTAAAATCTGGGAAAAAATTCCCTCTAAATTACAAAAACGTTCTTATAATAGCTTCTACAAGCAATACAAACTGTACCTAATAACTACCCAATGAGTAATTTGATTTCTCTGCCCTCGCTATCAATTCTAATTTCTATTGTTTTTTATATAAAATTGTAAGTATGACTTTATGCACTTTTAATTTTCCCGTCTCTATTATATGTTAAATGTCTACACCAGTTAGTTGCACGTAACAGTTACCAACCTCGAAAGCATAAGCTCCTTTGGTCACTGTGCACATTTCACCTTTGATGATTTATGTAAATTTTAATGTCATTTTATAATTACTTTTGTAATGTATTGTGTTTTTGTTGTAGTAAACTCTTGAAATAGTGCAATAAATAAAAAAATCTGAATCTGAAATCTGATCTGGATCATGATCAGTGACCCATGAGCAGTAATCAGATCACAGCACATCAGAGGAACTGATGAAACCTTGCCCAGGGTGGATTCAATGATTCCTTTGGTATACTATGATCCAAGAGATCTCTGATCACTGATCCTGATCTGAGTCATCCCAAAGGAAAACTTTTATTTTCTTGTCTTTATCTACATGTAACTAACTTTATTTAGAGAGTTACTGTGACTTTTACATGGGTCTTATTAGAAGCTAGGACCCAGGTACTGGTACTCCGTCAATGTTCTCTAAGCACTTTAAGCAAAATGGACAAGTGGACTCTCAACCCACTTTTCCAACTTTCCTCGCCTAATCAACCTTAGGCACCCTTCTAGTTTAAAAAAGAGTGAAAAGCCTGAACTTGACCGTTACAAGAACTGATAAACCTCTGGACCTTCAGTATACAAATTTCAAGGTTCAGAGCAAAGTTTGAAAAAAAATAGAATATTTCGTTCGAATTGTCGAAAAAAAAGTTCATCAGCAATTCGAATGAAATACTCGATTTTTTCTCAAACTTTGCTCTAAGTCATGAAATTTGATACCAAATGTCTTTGCCAGAGCAGATGAAAAACCTTTTTCGTTTCCAGATTGAATTAGAATTATACTGGTTTTTGAGAAGAGGGGAAAACAGTATCACCCAGAGAAAAACCTCTTGGAGTAGAGAAGATGACCAGCAACAAACTCAAACCACATATGGCATGAGGGATGGGAAATGAAGGCACAAAGAGAGAAAGGTGAGTGCTCCCAACAGTGCACTATCCCATTTGAGTCTTTCTTGGAATCAAGAAGGGTAAACTAAGGTAACTGGTTGTTGTACCTATGTGTCATTGTGTTAATGCCCCATTTGCTAATAGTAATTTCTCTTAAGAAATGAAATGAGGGCTACAAAATAATGTTTGTAGGTCGTTCCTTCAGCCATGACAAAAAGAAGTCTAATACATGTCATAGTTAGGGAAGGACCTAACATCTTAATGAACATTCAAGACGTAAGGGAACAGGGTGCTGGTAGCCTGTGTAGCTGGCGGAATTGTTCATCCTCAAAAGTAGGAAATTTTGGCGATGAACCTGTTATTCCAAGAAGTCATCACTGAATGAGCAAGAAATTCCTTCAAAGTGTCTCTTCCCCATTCTCTGCACAGATTCACAACTCCTCTGCCCCAACATGGGCCGATGTGATGATCCTGCCAGGTACGCAGGCTTGGGCACCAGCGAAATGACTTGTAGGTGAAACAACCATGAATCATTACAAAATTGCATTATCAGTACATGCAGTAGTTAACCGTAACTGCTGTAAAATAGGAAGTATTGTAACCTGATGTAAGTCATTTTTAAAAGTACCTTATCATATGGGAAATCAAAGATGTAAACAAAACAATAGGGTCATACACTTATCCTCTCAATGTCTGAAAGCCTACATTAGCAGATTAGTCCCCATATTGTAATGCTGTGACTACTTATGACTCAACAGAAACAATCATAACAAACTACGGTACTGAAGGTCCAAAGCTCACCCGAGTATCCGCCTTTCTGAATACTTTTTTCTTCGCGAGTTAGACGCAGTGAGGGGATTCGGAATGAAAGATCCTAATAAAGTTCTCTTTGGTATCACGCATATGCTTTGACTGTTAGATTCCAGAGTGCCTTGGTTCTTTTTCTTCGAAATAGCGTCGAAGCCGGGTGAAAGCCGACAGCAACATAATCCTAAGCACCTGGGGAAAAATTTTTTGGAATCATTTATAGCGTGTAAACAAAACGAAAAAATTCAAAATCAAAATAGATATTAGTCTCATAATTTACAGAAAACATTCAAATACCTTTTAGCTTGCCAGATTGCAAAAGACTGCCGTAAAAGCGGTAAAGTTTTCGCTTGTACTCTCACGGTGGCCATTTTGAACAAATAAATATTTCGTCATATTTTGAGTTAATTACATCTGGCCAGGCTACCAAGCCAAAACATGGCGGACAGAGAAGCACTTTCACGGTAATGGCACAGAACAACAATCTTTTAGTAGCAAGAGCTCTTGGTAAGAGAAAAAAATAGATTTTATAGCATCTAATAACAATGAATTTGAATTTTAAGACTGGCATGTCTAGAAGACTATTTAATGGTGGATTGAATTGGCACATTCAGTTCTCTTTGAACCGAGAACAAATAACTTTCCCAAAAATACGTGTATTATTATAATTCTTGTGTTTCTTCGGGCATTGGACTTAAATATCCATTATAAATTCTACTGATTTTGTTAAAATACACACTTTTGATGATTTTTAGCCTATAAAACCTCAGAATGCAAGGCCAATTACACACATTCTTCAAACAAGCCTGGCTCGTTTTACTCGTTTGCTCTGTCATATCATACAAGCAAGTTCTCCACTGCCGAACTGGACAGGCTATCACATACATTCTCTCCTCGTTATTTGTATTCACTGACCTGAGCCACCAACGCTCATCATTCAAACAATTCATCCCTTGTTCTTGTCACTCGCCGAGAAGCCACCAAAGCTAAGCGCCCAGAATGGCCCCATGTCGTGTGTAGTTACTCTCTTTTTAACATTTCTTTCTAGCTTCCTCAGTGAAAACACTCTTAGGACCAAATAACAGGTAAATACTTCATTAATTCTTACTGAAAGGTATTAATTGTGTGACTACATAGCTACTCAAAGCTTATCTTCCATGTGCTCAGTTATTGGGAACTGCTCAAAGAACACAGCACAGGAAAAATGGGAAACTACTTGTTGGGAAGAAAAATAAAACATTCTCCAATGCCAGTCAAAATGTTTTACAGTAGTAGGCAGGATAACCACAGAAGCAGGCAGCAGGCCTAAATTTGTGTGGTTGTTATTTAATATTACTAAACTGGAGAGTTGATTAGACGTCAATGAAATATTCCAGTGAAAACATCAAAATTACCGCTTGATGGCTCATTTTGACTCGGCTGCTCTCCTAGATCTCTTTCTCTTTCTTTCCTCTCTTTGCTACTCATTTTGTGCCCATCTCTGCTATCAGGATACCTGGTAGATACCTAAAGCATGTTGGACAATAGTGTGTGACATGATATTGCCCAAGGAGACTCAAAATGACAATGATAATGATGATGTTCAGCTATAAACTGATCAAAAAAGGAGGTGCTCAGTTAATTAGAGCCAAGTGGTCAGAGTGCTGGCAATCTGGAGGTCCAAAGTTGAATATCCATCCAGACTGATACTGGCCAATGGTTTGTGTCCTGCCAGTTGGGATTCTTAAACTTGGTTTGTTTCACTTGAAATATTTGTCTCAGTTCTGTGTTCCTAGTGGATCCTGTGCTGCTTCCTCCTTTTTGTTTATCTGTCTTGTGTTTCTGTCTTTAATTTGCCATTTGTTTTTTTTTTAAATTTGCTGATGAAATAAATCAGTAATCATGAAGATTAAAAAAAATGAATTGTAAAGTGTGAGCCTTGAGTCAGAATCCTAGTGCCTCTTTTTTTGTGGGATTTTAAGATGCATAACAACTGATCAGTAATTAAATTTTCAGACCCTGTGCCCCCATGGTCTGCCTGTTGTAAATTAGAAGCAATTCCTTTTCTTTCCAGTTCTAAATGCTGTACTGACAGTGATGGCAATACTGTTATCTGTAGCAGCGCGTCCAAGCTTTTGCAGCTTGTTGATGTCCAGGTTGGAAGTTCAGTATCTGTTTTTTAATATTAGATTAATACCTTCAGACATGCCTTCAGTTCAAAACCTTTTCAAATTTCTGGTACATGATGTATATACTGTCTTTAAGGGGGGTGTATAATACAAGTAAATTTATACCAACATTATTCAGTGAACTCTCTCAACCAAACATATAACTGAGTATGTAAAGCATTAGAGAGTGAATTTCTTTCAATTCTTTACAAGTGAATTTTACACGTGAGACTGGTATATTTTCTAGGTTTTACCCTTTTTTTCCTTTTTGGTTTTTAACCTAATTATAAGAATTCTGGCAGGGAGGGAAAACATTTTTCTTTACCACTGAACATTTCTTAGCTCTAAGCTGGAGTCATAATGACCTCTTGCAGAAATTCCTAGGAGTCATGGGTAGATTTTTTGGCATAAAAATGCCAAAATTGTAAATCCTGCCTTTCTAAGACAGAGAGTAATGAAGTTGTCTTTTTGTGTTCTCTTTAGTTCAGGAGGCTGTACATTATAATATCAATTTTTGTTATCATCTCTGTTTTTAGCATCCAGCTGGGTTTGTTATCAATGATGCTTGCCAGGGTCAGTATAAGAAGTATGGAACAAACTGTAAGACTCTTGTCTGTATGGCTGGCTTCTGGAGTAAGGCTGCACAAGACTTGCAAGATCAGGTGAGGGACTGAAAATAAATAATGGCAGGGTAACTGTCTGTTTTAGTGTTTTAAATGTACAGTTAGGCCTTTACGGTATATGTGTTAATGTTGAAGGGACAATAAAGCAGTTCTAAGGAGTAAAGGAAAAAACAAAACAAAACATAAAAACCCCAAAGAGACAAAAGGATAACATGTATTTTTAACAGAACAGGAAGTGGAGTTTTAAGAGCAAATGTGTTTTAAACTAAAGACAGACATTTGTTACTGAAATAAGGTTTTGATTAAGGCTCTACTCTCACATCCTCACTCTGTTATTGTTTACCAAGAAAGCAACTGAGAAGGAAGGAATAAACGGAAAGGAAAATGGGACTGGGAAGTTAAACCCATTTGTCATTTCCACTATGTTTCGTAGGGTGCAATCATCGAAGCCTTATTTTTCTGTTGATGTCGTGGTTATTTTGTTTTTGCATATTAATTTTATTGCAACTTTGTATGTAAATTGATTCTGTAATAGTATATATATTTTTTGCTGCAGAGGGTGAGAGTTAATTTATAGTGATAAATTTAATCTCCACAGTGCCTGTCTTCTGCCCTCGTAACAAGTCTCTTTCAATATCATTATCTACCATACTGCCTTATTCTTTAGGGTGTTCCCTGTCCAATCATCGTCCAGCTTTTTGATGACGCCCTTGAAGCTTGTGAGGATGTTTGTCAAGAATTGTCGCTTCCACTTATGGAAGCCTTACGAGATCCCCATAATGCCCAACAGACTGCTGAAAATGTACATACTGTCAGAGTGCGTGAAAATGCCACAGGTTCTGCAACGGGTGACGGTGATTTAGGTGGTGAGTCAGGCAAGGTTTGTGTTGTTGGTGAGGGTGGTGGACATGCTGATAGAAACTCTGATGGGGAGGATGATAATATTTCATGGTATTTTGATGGTCATATTCCAGGGCCTGATGGTCATGTCCCAGGGATAGATGATGTTGCTCAGGGGTTAAGTGACCATATCCCTGGGGTTATAAATCATATCCCAGGGATAGATAATCTTGCCCAGGGGGTAAATGTCCACATCCCACAAGTGATAAGTCATCTCCCAGGCGCCAATGGGATTGTGGACATGGAAAATGTGGATGATTCACACTCAGTCTCAAAGACACTACTTCACAGCAAGGTACCGAAACGAAAATGGGCTAGCAAGAAAGATGATCTTTCTCCTGACTTAAGCAGTGTTGACTGGGTGGTCAGTAGCGAAAAGAGCCATGGAAGGATATTGCCTGAAGTAGAATACAGTAGCTTAATGGATTGCTTGAGAGACAGAAGTAGACATGTCACGCGTATGACGTCGACTTCGGGTAACTGTGACAGCTTAGATAAAGTACAGAAAATTACGGATAAAGATGCATTCGTGGGTGAAAGGGAAAACAGAGAAAGGTTGTCAAACTCAAGAAAAAAGGTTTATGGAAAACCGCTTACAAAAACTGCACAGCATATGGGATGCATAAGTACTGCTTTATATCCAAAAAGCGCAAGCAAAGACGACGAGGAAGATGAATTTGAAGCGTCTTTTGTGGAAGCTGTTTCAAATTCGAGCAAAAGCACTCTTCACTCATATTCTCAGGGTCTTCTTTTCAATAACACCTCAGGATCAGAACTGAAAAATCTTGGAAATGAAGTAACAAAACTATCAGTAGAAGAGAAGCGTAATGATAACTCCTTTACCGTCGGTGAGAGTAAATCAATTGCAGCCGAGGCACGAGAAAAAGAAACAGGCCCAAACGTTCAATCCAAGCCAAAATCTTCAAGGAGTGTTAAGACGAAGCTTCTGGATTCACAACAGCTGCCTTCTTCAGGACGCACGGACAAAGAAATTACTGACAGATTGCTTTTTTTGGTGACGCAGAAGCTAGAGAGCAAGGGAAAGGCAGCTAGAACACAGTTCAAATTGTCTGAAATTTATAAAGGAAGTCGACATTTTATAAGCAGTTCAGAGGAGTCAGTTCTAGCGGCGTCGTCTTCTTCGAGAATGACTCGTTTAAACCAAACTACAGACATTTTGCCGCATGGAGATTTCTCAGCAAAAAGTTCAACCGATAAACAAGGGCGGACAGGAGTACAAAATATGGTGCTGTCAACGCCATTAAGACCTAATCTATCAGAAGAAAAATCAGAAAACGTTTTAAACGGAAAAACAACTGTACAGTCAACGACTAGGACCTTTCAACCAGGAAAAGTAGATTCTCAATACTCAACTTTTGCGAAAAAATTTCTTGAAAAAAACACAAGTCAGTCAGAAACGACTTCAGATTCCAAAGAGAAGGAAAAATGTTTGGGTAGTAACGAGGAGTTATTAACACGTCTTGGTGATCGCATGGCTCATGGGAAACAGCTAGAAATGAAACTAGCAGTGGAAATTATCACTTCTCTCATTAACTCTTCAGGTAAAGCTTCGCTCCAAGAATTCGAGATTCATTTGAATATGATTCACACAGAGCTGATCTTTGGTCCACCAAGTTCTTTTTCCCAAACAGTCGATGGTCTGTTACTGGAAAACACAACTAAATTTCAATTTTCAACTATTGTATCAGGCTCCCAACGTTTCATCGCGTTAGTTAATGGTGACGTCACAGCGGATTTTCGCCATACTGGCTTAAACAAAGAAGTACAGATTCACAGAATTATTGAGCACAAAGAATTTAAAGACACTTTTTCCACTCAGGAGGAATATTGGAATCAACGTAATACAAGCTCTCTTAGGGACCATAAAATTGGGGTCCTTGTCGCTAAAGGAATCGTTCAAGATTCTATCCTAGACTATTGTTTGTCCCATAACATTGTAGTTCTCCAAAACGTAGCATATCCAACTCTTCAACTTCTCTCCTTTGCTACCGGCTCCGTCATGGTGACGTATTTGGCTGATTTGAGGGAGAAGGATATCGGAAGGCCCGTTACCATAGATACCTGGGAGCTTGGCTGGACACCTTTAGTAGTGAGACAAAGCAAGGTGGAAAGTGGTAATTCTTGCGACGTCAGGAAACTACAGTTTGTGCTTATAAAAGAATTCAAAATAGAAAATGGTACCTTTGAAGGTAAGCTCGCGTTCGGTTATGACACTATGACTCTTAAGTTCAGAACTCAGTCAACAATTACGCCTTTGCCGCAGTCATTAGGGGAGGGATATTATTAAAAATTAGATTGCCGAGAGTCTTCTGATAATAAAGTCACATATGTAACACGCATCCCGCAAAAAATGGCGAGTAAAAAGCTTGCCCAGTCGCTAAACGTCATAATTCCACGCGACTTATTTATTTCGGCCTACGTGGTTTGAGTGCACGTCACCGAAATGCATGACCGCGAAAGGTCTGGAAAGTCACCGCACTGGGACCAGGCAAACAGTAAGCGGTTGTCAGAAATAACACTGAGTTCAAATTAACAAACGTCTCTACATGTATCTTTGTCATAAGAAAGAGCACTAGTATTTGATATACTAAGATATACGAAAGACCACTCGTAAGGTCATGGTGAAACTGTGATAAATTCATTACTGTGAAAGAGTGAAATTAAGCGATATTAACTCTATTAATTCTCTCAAAAGATATTAACAGCCCGCTTCAAACTGTGCTACTCTGTGGTCCATGTAAAGATCATGTCTGTGACGCAGAACACCGCTTCTGGAATTCTATTCATCGCTTGAAGAACGCCCTCGCTTGTGGCCGAGTGCTGCCTGGGGCCGGAGCACCGGAAATTGCTTGTATTCGACGACTGAATAAATTAGCAGGTTCGTATAGCTACCAGTCTCCTGCGAAACACCGCAGAAACCAGCGACTCCTTTTGCTGCACAACCTGATTTAGGGGGGCGGTTTATGAGGCAACTGATTTGTTCTTGTTTTCACAGGTCAACAGAAGTCACGCAGTTCTCTACCAGGATGGTTGGACGGGAGCTTGGAAGTTTTTAGGCCGTTGGTGTACTCTGCATTTGCTGAGGGATTTAAAGACTATTTAGGAAGTGTCGTTCATAATTCAGGAACATTAACCATACCCTCCGGAGTTTCAGCCTATATTGAGGAATTAATTACCGCGGGATTCTCTTTAGACTTTCTATTAAATACTGAGGAGGAGAAATCGGTGAACACCCTGAATGATATCGAGGCACAAAACGCGTGCGGACACCCGAGAGCTAATGTCAAAGATTTCGCCGCGGCGTCCGGTTCCATGACTGGCGCTAAAGCGGGAGTAGGGGCTCCGATTCACTCTGGAAAATTATTCCATAAGGTAGAAATACCGCTTGTATGGGATGATTATTCCGCAAAGAGAGAAGCATGGAAAAGAGCTCTTGGTGTCGTAAGAATACTGTTACAATCGGACAAGTTGATCAAGACTGGGCTGGAAAGCAATTCTCTTGAAGCGGATATATTATGATGATTTGTGAATCAAGTGATTGTAGCCTGTTAACAAAGTCTGCATGCGCGACCGTATCTCACATTTTGCTCAACAGGCCAAATGTTTTGACTGTCGAAATTTACAGCTGCGATCACTTCACTAGTAACGCTTCAAGCATAAGCCCAATTCTAACATAAATGCTTAATATCTAATTGCTTCCGTGTTAGGAAGTTTAACTTACCACGACGACGACGGCAGCAAAAATAAAAAATGTTTAGCCTCTTTCAGGCGTCCAGATAGTGTTAACGAAACAAAGAGAAGTGAGCAGGAGAAACAGCTTGGGGTGGGGGTACAATGAAAGTTGCGACGATTCTTATCCCCAGTTTCCACTGTCTCCGCTAGGAACGCCTGGGAGTATCGCCTACCATTTGCGTAGGACACACAAAGAAAAAAAAGAAAAAGAAACGCCTGCATTTTTAGGGTCTCGCTCTGCTCAAGCAAGCTCGACTAATAACCTACAAAACACTTTACTACAATATAAGGAAAAGGTTAGAACACAAGTAGCACGGTTCTGAAGCTTTGTAGCCTGTCAAATAACGTTTTAACACTATTACCCCAGACAAGACTGCAATAATCGGATTGAATTGAACAATTAGAGTGTTTTATATATATGTAATGGAGAGTAGGCCTGGGACAAAATCTTTTAATTGCTCCTATCCCGGGAGCAATCTTTTTAGATAATTAGTCGGTGTGTTTGCCCCCGCATTTTTTCACCATTAAATATTCCAAGCGATTTTACAGAGGAAACTTGTTTTATCGGTTATGTATGGCTGTGTAGGGCTATGTAGGGTTACAAAAAAAGTCGACAGAAAAGTCGACATTACACTCGACAAAAAAGTCGCGCGACATAAAAGTCAACATAAACGTCGACCAAAACGTCGAAGTAAAACAGTCGACAAAACACCTTGAAACTCTTCGCTATACCTTGTTTAAGACAAGACACCTTATTTCATGGCGCTAATAATTCATTTCGTTTCCATGCAGAGTTAAGTAATTTCTTAAAATAACAAAATGGAATTAGAGTTTTTGGAAAAAAATTGCCGTTGATACCACATATGTAGGCCGCTAATTAATTGCCAATTGTTTTTGGGATCGACTTTTACACTTCAAGTATAGTTAGCTGAGATTTTCGCCTCAATAGGTCGTCTTGTTATGCACATATCGATTAACAAGGTCGCGCTGTCCTGTGACTGGCCACACTGTAGCAGGCGACTACCACAAGATCGGCAAAGAAGTCACTAAAAATTGAAAAACTTATGGAATGTACTCTAATTTGTGAAGAGTTCGGCACGGCAATATGTGGCCGGCAATATGTGTCCACACTGTAAAATTTGACTAGTTAAAATAACCAATAAAAATGGTTGCAAAATGCATCTGAGAGAATCCTTTTGTTTTAGTCAGATTGACCAATTTAGATTGGTTTGAAATAACTGGATTCTTTTGATTTAAAATAACTAATTTAAAAGCAGTTAAAATAACTATCAACAGGGTTATTTTCACCTTTTTGTTTGGTTGTTCTCAGTTCAATATTTAGGTTGTTTTAACTATTGATAAACGGTAGTTTTGACCAGTTTATTGTAAGTTAGAATGACCAATATTTTTGGTTGAAATAACGTAATTTATTCAGTCAGAGACCATTTAAATCAGTTAATTCAACTATTTAAAATGCTACCGGGGATGCATCTGAGAGAACCCATTTTTTTTAGTTACTTTTTGTTAATATAACTAAAAAAGAATAGGTTACAAGAAATTGTTAATTTCACCTTAAATAATCAGTAGATTTAACCCCTGTAAGAGGGTTAAAATAACACGATCAAATAGACCACACTGACGAACAAATTCGGTTGCATCTTTATTAAACATACATGCAGTCAAATGTATACATTCAATTAAAAAAATGGCGTCCTAGAATGCAAAATATAGGACTAAACCTTATATTTCCAGATATGGGAACTTAACTCTATTTTTTTCAACTGCCAATATTGATATATTTAACTGTAACTGTATTTAAATGATATGATGGTCAAATTGAGTGCTTAAACAGTTCTGAGCACACAATTCACGGAAATTATCCACAGCATTAAACAATTAAAACTAATCTATACTGTTAAAGCAAAAGTGGCAATGTTAAATAGAACGAATTGGAGGATTTTAGCATTAAACCAATTTTAAGGGAACTCCCTTAGGGACGTTACAAAATTGTCTAACATTTCGGGATCAGCTCAACTGTGATCACGCAAATTATCACTTCTTCACATCAAATTTCCTAAAATATAGCCTGTTCAAGGCATTCGGATGGTGGGGAGCAGCAAAGTCCAGAAAGTAAGGAAATGGTTGCAGGAGGCCAGGAACATTCTTTCCCCTATTCCTTTTTTTTTCTCACTCTGCTCTTCACTTGTTGCCACTCCCTATGATCCTAATGCTTGGAGCAGGCTTGCCAAAACCAGTCATTTCCAACTAAATTTCAAGCTGTTTACATTAAGGTGGCTCAATACAGTTTTTCAGGGTCATTACCTCCCAGGTTTGGGCATAAACTAGGTCGCCATAAACAAAGATTTGGAAAAATTGCCACTACAGTTGTATTAGATAAAGACGAAAATTTTTTATGATCAGGATTGCAATGACCTCGGAGTTGTCACCGCAACGAAATGATGCTATTACTTATTTTACTTGCAGCAGTATTTCTCGGCACTGGGAACCCTTCATCCAAAATCGTTCAGGGTTGCTTTTTCCTCCAATTGCCGCCTTGATGTTCGTGAAGTTTAAGCAAAATCTGTGAGAGTGTTATCGAGATTCATGAAGTTTAAGTTTGAGCAAAATCTGTAAGAGCATTATCGAGACATTTTGGGATGAAGTTTTTATGGTTAGAAATACAGTAAAAAATGGACAACCTTGATCAAAATGTTTGGCTGTTATCAGTAGAAAACGAGGCACTTTTGACATGCAATTTCACCTCAAAGTAGTTTCAATCTTTTTAAAAACATGTGTGAAAGATCATGGAGATAGATCCAGCCAATTGCTTCATCCCAAAATATCTGAATAACGCTCTTACAGATTTTGCTCAAACTTTATGAACATCGAGGCGGCTATCAGAGGAAAAAACTCCTGTGAATGATTTTCCCGGTGCTGAGAAATACTGCGGCAAGTAAAATAAGTAATGGTGTCATTTCATAGCTGTGACAACTCCAATGTCATTGCAACCCTGATCATAAATAATTTTTATCTTTATCTAACACAACTGTGATGGCAATTTTTTCAAATCTTTGTTTATGGCAAAGTAGTTTATGCTCAAACTTGGGGGTTATTGACCCAGAAAAACTGTATCAAGCCACCTTAAAAGGGGAGTGGTTTCTTTGCCATTCTATTTCAACTTGCCTACCACTGCTTCAGCATTTATCGGCAGTGCATGTCTGCTCCTTTGCAACAAAATGTACTCAAGAAATAGATACACATTCTTGCTATGACCACCATGACCTTTCGGATAGTCCGCATTGAAGACATAATAACTAGCAAGTAAGGTGACAACTGCACTCAAAATATTGATTTTTTTGAAACGACAGACAACCATTCCTTCCGCTGCCAACACCAATGATTGAACATCATCAATTGTTGCCCCCATTGAAATGAGACGGGGCGCTGTTGTTGCATGTATCTCATTTTCTGCATTCACATCTGAATCATTCTGTGAAAAAAAAAAAAAATTCATGAAATTGTAAATCCTAGTCATTCCTTATAAAGCAAATGCTTTTCATTTCTTCAGGATACAGTCAACTCAGGATAACTCGAACCAATGCAAACCGAAACCAAAAATCGATTTCCCCTGGAATTCCTTCATCCATTTGCCGTGATTTTACTGAACCCGCAATTCAAAGTTCAAAAGTTTATTGAGAGATTATGCAAAGTATCCAACACTAACTAACAATAGCCCACAAAATAGCTAGAGCTAATCTAGGTGGGTAGTGGAGAGACTGTTTACTGAGTGAATTTTGTTGCAAGTTTAACATAATCACTAACCCATAAATAAACAGATAGCATGAATATGGTATATGCCAATTAGATAAGGACTACAAGGGAGAAAGTTGGTAAATAAAGCTACTTTAGACATATATGAATTAGGGCTAGGAAACAAAGGACATGAGAATCAACCTAAGTTAAATCAAAATTAACCTGAAATACATACATAACTGGCACAGTTTATTGTCAGCAATGCAGAAACAAATTAATTTTATAAACTTACCGCCACAAATGTCCAGAATTGAACACCTGGATGATGTTTTGCAGTTTTTCTTTCTCCCAATAAGTGGGGCAATGCTGCCATGATGCAACGGTTTTCAATTTCTGAAAATAAAAAATATATATATAAATACAGTTGAACCCCAACAGGGCTTAAGGCTAAATTTAGATGGCTCTAACATACCCCTCATGTTTGCACTACTGGTTTTTCAAAACTTTGGAAAGGTGCGTATTATTATATCTTTTGTACACCAGTTCTAGAGTTACCTTTTTCATCCTCTGAATCATTGTCATCAATAATGCGCAGCAAGTTTTGCACTTCTTTTGTGCTGGACTGTTTAAGAAGCTTCAAAAGCTTTTGCTTCCATGTATCAAGGAATGCAGTTTTCCTGCCCTTGCAGCAATCCTCCTCACCCAAAATTCTTTGCAGTTCTGATCGTATCTGAAAAATAACACCCCAGTTAATGTGTTTGTCAATAAAGGGATACAGTGCAATGCAATTCACATTGACAGTAACCTAAAGATACAAAAAAGGATTTAGAGCAGCTGTTAAATAAGGCCTCTTGTTACTTGTCTTTTCAGCTTGCAGTTGTACCCTATAACAATAATGGTAACTAGTATGACTTAAGAATATCATAATTATGAGAAATAATTTCTCCTTCAACATTATCGTGTCTCCACTTTAGTATGTTTGTATAAAAAAGAGCAAGAGACCACAACAGCATTAAAATTCATAATATTTGTGTGTTCAAACCTTCGCTGAACTGCTCTGCAGCTGTACAAGTGAACATTTTTTCTCATATGGCTAGGCTATCACATGCTTAAACATACTTACGTGCTATTACGATAACTTACATGTACATATATGTGTCACATAAAACAGTTACAGCTGTATTGGACAGTCTTAGTTTACACACATAATTCTATGCCTTAGAGTTAAAACATTACCAAGGAAACACTCACCTCACTTCCATTGCCATTCTCTAAAGGAGGATACTCTTTTAGAAGTTTCCACACTCTTACATTGTTCAGTAATACATCTCGTCTCCTTAAAGGAAAAGTGGTATCCATCAGCATATGAAGGGTACTGAGGTCTGGTGATCCTTTACGGCAAATTTCTTGCAGTTGTTGTTTCTGCTCCTCCAGGGTATCAATTGTCTCCCCTTCAGGAATTCCAGGGACAACGCTCGCTTTTGACACTTGTTTTTTACGTCCTGGTTTTCCCTTTAGAGCACCCTCTGTCTCACCCACTGATTGATACAGTTGTTTTTTGGCTTGTCTTGATGCACGTTTCAATACATTGGCCATCCGATTCATAATCTTTTTTGACCAAATTTGCTAGAGTGAAAGGTTGAAAATTTCAAGAGAAAACTTAGTCATAATCTGATAATATTATATGACGTATCTATTCTCAATACGTTATAATAACTGTGATATAAACTGTTGGAAACTGCAGAATATCTCACTACATTTAAGACTGCACAAAAAAAATGAACAGTTGGATAAAGGACATTGTCCTCCAATGTACCAGCAATACAGGAAGGGTCTATTGCCTTTACCCTCCCAAAAAATATTACCCCCCATGTACATGTAAATGTTACCTTGCAGTTTTAAACTGTAAAACTTTGGTCAGTTTTGCACTGTAACTGTTGTTGAACTTAAACCAGGTAAAGGATAATATCAGACAAATTGTGTGAGTTGTAGAACATCTCCTTAGAGGAGAATATTATTATACTATAAGGACTGGGCACTGAGTTCCATATAGCCGATAGGAGCCTGAAACTAGTTTACCGGATCATGTTGTTCTTGTGTAAAGTTCTCATCATTCTTTACACTGTGGCAAGAATGGCTGTTTATATTAAACATGTGTCTCTGTGAAATAGATGAATTCCTATTTACTCCTGCCAATAAAAGGACCAATAATTTTTTTTATAAAAATACTTACATGGCCTGCACCAAATGACCCCTTAAGAAACGGGTACTGGTTGACCAGCAGCATGGCAATATGCTCCCTCTCACTAAATCGTAAGACTTCTGTCTGAGCCATGATAGTAGTGCAGAGCTGGCGAACCAGGGAATTTTGCTGTTCTGGTGAGAGGTCACCCTTTGCAAGCCCTTGCTCAACATCAGGTTCCCACTAAGTGTTAAAACAGACCAAACAAACCAATCATGATCCACATAAAATTGGTTTAATTTTTTTAACTTCCAATAACTCATTCAGGATGTTGCAAATTTATATTTACAAAAATAATATATTTCCAAGTCATAAACCAGGCACAACTTCAGACATAATATAGACTCTACCTTATTAAAGACTACCTCTACTTTAAGTTAAGGTAAATAACTGGCTCTTTGCAGCCTTCAAAGAACATGCTGTTTTTCGTGACAAGTAGTCAATAAAATAATTAAGTCCTGGTCTACTGCAAGGCTGTCTGCTCATACAGCTTAACGAAATTTCTTTAATGTGGTGAACACTCTCACCAAATTTTTCACTTAAAACTTTGTTTATTGTATGACCTAGTGAATAAATATCGGTTGATTCACTTTGTGGTGAATCACCAGCAACCAGTTCAGGTGCCAAATGAGGGTACCTTTCTAAATATTTCTGCTTTTCAACTTTATTTGATAACTTGTAAAATTTTCCTTTGTGAAGTGGGCATGCTTTTCCAAAGTCAATGACCACAGCATTATAATGAATGCCTCTTTCTTCCACCATGATATTATTAGGCTTCAAGTCATTATGAATATAACCCGAAAGGTGAATTGCATTGACACCCTCAATCAATGTCAGAAACAGATGATCTGGTGAACAGGACTGTGACAATTTCATTGTTTTAAGTCTCCCGGAAAAGTTGTCTAAAGTTACACTTTCTTTCTTAAAACCAATAAATTGGGTTATCAAAATAGGATCTGGTTCTAAGCAAATCCCAAATAGCAGGGGCAAACTAGAGTGAGGAATAAGGTTTAACATGGCTTTGACTTCATTAATTAGGTTGGATCTCAGAAAATGTTTTTCATTAAAAAATTTTAAGCAAACATTTATATCTTTATATTTGCCCTTATAGCAACTCCCAAAGGTCCCCTTTCCTAATATTTTGTCACCTTTCACTTCAAGCAAATCTCTCTTAATTATCATGCTTTTAGGAATATCTTCTTCCTTAAAATTACTGCTAGCAGAATAAAGAAGTCTACTATTTTCCTCTTTTGTTTTCTTCCATTTATAAAAGTAGCCATTTGCTACTTGCTTGGCACTCTTGCAGTTATTCTCAAGTTCAATTACTTTTTCGTTAACTATTTTGGCTGCACTGGATTGCAAAAAAGTTGAGAGTTTTTTTCTATTAATGCGATTCTTCCTTTGTCTGCTTTTTCTCTTTTTCATTCCACTCTTGGAGCACTGAACTTGTTCACTGCATGTTGCTTCCACATGGTGTTTCAGCTCAAATGTCTAGAATTAGGCAAATATTGTTTGAAATAGTGAATTAATTTTGAATTTGGTATCACACAGGTGAGCCAGGTCAAAAGAGAAAGCAAAAACCCACAAGCTGCAGATTATAGCCCAAGCAAGGCTGCCCCAAGTGACAACCTCAGCAAGGAAATTGCCAGTAGGCAAGCAATTAAATCTTGCCTTGACAAAACAACGGCTTCTGCTGGAGTTAAGCCTCTCTTTAACGATTGGCATACCTTATTTTTTCCTTCAAATTCACAGAAAGTCATCTACCCAAGATAAAGAAGAAAGCACTCACACTAAAAAAACTTAAGTCTCTTTATCAACAGTTCAGCTCTCCAAGAGGATCAAAACAAGAAAATACCGAAAACTTCACATTTTTAGTTGTGTAATTTGGGAGATTTAATACAGATTCTCTGGTCAATTAAAGCTTATTTATCATTTTAGATTCATTTTTATGTTTTATAAAGCAAGACACAAAGTTAAACTGAACGCATTCAATTCATTGCCATAAAAAAAGAAACAAATGCTGTTCTTGATACTTATACGTAAAAATATCGTTCATACATTTTTGTAGAACTTTCTTGATGGCTTGATATATGTAGTTAAAAAAATGGGACTAAAATGCCTTACCCTTGTTGGTATTGCAAACTTGTTCAGCCATGATTTATTTGGGGAGTCATGACCACCTGCTGATCCTGGAGAATCCTAGAAATATGACATGCGGAATATATTTAAGCATGGCATGCCAAGTCTCCTATCCAGCCATTAGCAAGAGGGGAGGGGAGGGGGAAGGAGTTATTCACTAGTTAAAGTAAGCATATACAAAAGGGTACGGAGATCACGTCAAAGTTGTAAACTACATAAGTTAAATGGGGTACCATTTCTCAATAGAAGGTATAAAATAGGGGTACCTTATCTGTTAAAAATAGTACATAAAAGGGGAAGGGGTTGGGCCTCTCCGTTTATAACTCTTCCTGAGGATCTCTCCCCTCGGGGTTACAAGAGAAAAAAAAAGGAACATTACCTTTTTGCCAACAGGAGTTCTTGTTCTCTCGATCTCCCGCGAGTTAGTGGCATACTTTCGGTTTTGACACTTCGGCGAAGACACACTTTTTCGCGGGCTTCGCCTAGGAGTGAATGCACTTTTCGGCGGACTTCGTCTTGGAGACTTGCATGGAGAAACACTTTTCCGCGGCCTTTTTGGCTGATATTCGGGTGAAGACTCACGATCAGCGGCACATTCCACACTCTCACTGCTTCGTTTTCTGCCAGGGCTCGAGTTATTATCTGGCTGCCGACAACCATTGACATCGAAGGTCTACCAAGAAACAAGAACAAAAAGTCAAACATTATAATACAAACATTTAAGCTTATCATTTATGGCTTATTACGATCTTTCAACAAGTAAGTTAAAAATGGCTGTGTAGCGGACTAGTAAGCAGTTTTATCATCTCCGTGCGATTCAAAATTCCTTTCTTCTGTGCGTATAAAGCTTGTACGGCATAAGCTGTAATATATATTTTGAGCAGTTCTTGTACGCTTGGCGCTTTCTTTACTTCATACCGCTCCACACTATCTGATCAATTCACCGTTTGTGACAATGTAACCAGGCACGGCTAGTAGCCACGTGACAACGTTTTTAGGCGGGAATTTTTTTAACGCCTTTCCTAGGACGTCTTCAGCTTTGGTATTATCGAGTTGATCGTTAAAAAATCGAACTCGAAAAAGTCTTCTCCGTCTACTTCGTTAGCTGTAAGGATTTAAAAAAGAGGCAACGATGAAAATTGCTGTTGTATTTTGCGTGGGTAGGCTAATTCAATTACGTTTAACTCGACGTATGTAGAGACTTACTTTTGAAAGCTTCTATTAGCTCACCCAACGAGTTGTCCTCTAAAAACTGCAATACATCGTCTAAGGTGGATTCTTTTGTCAGCACTGTAGACGCCATTGCGAAAACGTAGATATGAACGGGAATAAAATCCTGGCCGATCGAAGCAGAATAAAGAGTACGGTATGTTCACCAGACGAATGTTTCTCTGAAACTGAAGGACTTGGCTTGTGCAAGTCATAAAACATGTCACAGGAAAACAAAGGGGCTTTTATTCTAGTTATAAACGTCAAAAGAACATTATTAAAGTCCATTGTTATCCCCCGAGCGGTCCTCTTTTATGACAAAAATCGTTAAATAAAGTGTCGGTTTCTCATATTTTCCGAAGGAAATTCCAGAGAGAGGGGGGCGTAAGGGGGGTCCGAAAACCGCAAAACCGCACAGAAATGCGCCAAAAAACCGCAAACCGCATCGGATTTTTTCCCGAATACCGAAACCGCGCGTACATGTAGGCCACAATGTGAAAGCTGACGTCAGCAAGACTTGTGATTTTTTCTGATAACATTATGCGTTAGTATTAAAAATACCATCATAACGCTAACGATATATTGTGCTACACTATTATACTCTATTTACTACTAACCAAATGCCAAGTATGCTGGTCATGTACTTGAACGAGTATTGATATCTCCCTTGACTTTGAAAAACTCTGTCACTGATCCTGTACGTCTTACATTGGGTGACTGATTACTTTGGACGACCCAGTGCTAGTTGTGGAACGCGGAATAAAAGTTTCTTCTGGAATAGTGACCTTCTCGTCTCGTAAAGAGTTCACGTTCAGTGGAGAAGACGATTGTTAAAACGTACAGCTCTTCTGAAATTCTCCCCTTCCTTTCCTTCTTCATAGAAGATTGCCACGCAATTAAAACGGTTAATCACATTAAGTATTAACTGGAAAAGGCCTTAATTGCAAACCACAGAGTTAAATTGTAAGCTGGTATAATGAACCCTGATGCGTTGTAAAACAAAACACTTGGCTCGCGCTTGCAAAACAACCGGATGCCGACCGTTCTAAAGAGTGTAATCACCGTAGACACTTTTTTTCACCGAAAACCGCGCCTTAAAGGTTGTAATAACCGCAAACCGCTTAGTGTTTTGAAACCGCAATACCGCGAGTTAAAATAAAAATTACCGCAAAACCGCACCAAAAATAACGCAAAACCGCATCACCGCAAACACTTACGCCCCCCTCCAGAGATAGTGCAGTGCTACTATGAGTTTTAGCCCGCTTCTGTTCTTGAAAATACTCTAAGATGTTCAGCAAAATGAATTGCACTGTAAAGTATCCGCTACAGCGCCGGTTTCGACGTTCACCTTGATTTTAATCATTTTATGGGCATTAGGTCTGTTGGGGGTCTAAATACGGTAACTGGGGCGAAATGAACTTTATATTACGTCGAATTAGATTATCATTCATAAAAGGTATTAAACAAAAAATCTTCGAGCATTGTTACCGACCGGTGTCAATCACCATTGTCGAAGTTCACGAAGTTACTCGGCGTTAGATCAAATAGATCGAAAAAAACTACCTTAAAAATCAGTGTATCATGGCGGAGTAATCGTGTCTGAAGCAAGGGAACATTTTTTTTTATTAATGTTCGCACAAGCCTCACGACAGAAGCTTATCGGAAGAGTAAAATTAAAACGTGAAATAGACACCTCTCAATTATCAATTATTTTTTATTATCTTCTGATAACAAGTCGTTGTATTAACAGCGCTTCAATTCTCAATTTAGCTATCAAATGAAAGAAAAGTGTTTTTAAACTTCGACCTTCAAGATCATCAGAACTCGATGTTGACCCTTAAAAGGATCGGGAAACGTAAAGTGGTATTTTTTTTTCAGCAACAGTAAATTTTAGTTCAATTACTGAACCGGCCTCAGCTCAGGTACAGCTATCAAACCAAAATATTTCACACATTTTCAAGTTCTTTCATATTTCCGAAAAGCAGCGTTATCATGTGTTATCAGCGTGACTTTGGCGGGAAAACTTTTAAGAGGGGACAATTAACCGGTAAGGACTAAACAAGCCTGACACGCGATGGCTCGCAACCTCAGGTGCCAAATATGCTCAACGTTTTACTCGTTGACTGTTGCTTTGATGTTAAGCCATTTACTTAAAGTGCACAGAAATGACCCTGACTTTTTCGTCAAATGTGACATCCCTGGTTGTCAGCGCACTTTCAAGAATGTGCATACCTATAAAAGCCATCTTAGCAGACATCATAAAGGAGTAAATATTCGTCAACCGGTGCGATTTTTTGAAGGCAGTGCAACAGGTCCAACAGTAGAGGGCATGGACTTTGAAATGGAAGATGCACTTCCAGAAGACCACTATAACGATTCAGAAATGCCCGCTGAAGAAAACCTATATGACGGACTTGAAGACCGACTTGAAGCAAACAAAACGCTCAACGCATTTTACTTGCTACGCAGCAAAGAGGCCCAGTCACCAACCCAGAAAGCCCTTGACGACGTTGTTGAGGGATCAACTTCTCTGGTGAGAAATACTGTTGAACTGATAAAACTTGGCGTACAGAACCGCCTGGATAGTGCTGGGATTGATTTCAAGGCTGTCCCAGGCTTAAGTGAATTGTTTGCTGAAGATCACCAAATTAGCAATCCTTTTGCTCACGTGTCCACAAAGAACAAGCAAGCGGCATACTATGCGAAGAAATTTGGATTGGTGGTAAGGATTTTTAACGTCATTCTTGAAGTAGCATTACATTACCAGAGGTTTTCCGAAAAGACAGGGACTAGTATTCTTAGTATGACAACAATAAATAACATCAACAAGTTCGTCGTTTTACCGTAGTTTTTGGGAAGGACCTGGGATTTTTTGACTCTCCCCAATCCTCTGCCCGTGTCCTAATCCAAGATGGCGCTACGCTGCTTCTAGACTGTTGTTGACTAATAATTGTGCTCGTTTACTTGCCTTTGCGATCTCTCTGTTGTTTTTTGGCAATTTCAAGTAGAGAAGATATAACTTAATAAGACTTATAGATATTGATTATGAACTAAATTATGTCATGTGGGAAAGCTGAGTCCTATTGGACCCACATTGTCGTGTGGTAGTTTTATTTTTCTCAGATATTTTGAGTTCACTTTCAGGAACCAAGGCGAATAAGACTCGGACATAGAACCATACAAAGGAGATCGGGTATTAGGTACAAGGAAGTTTTAAAGGACGAGGAAGCCATGTACATTCCACTACTGAGTTCCTTGGAGCAACTACTGAATAAAGATTCCATCTTGCAAGAGGTAAACTTATTAACAGTTAATGAATAATAGTATTATTATAATGTATAGAGGTCCGACTGTAACTCAGTTGTGTGTTACTTTGCACTGTTAGGAATATTAAAGCAATGTAGCATTCATCCGCAAATGAAATTAATAAAAGCATTAAATGTATAAAGCTTGTGAATGAATAAATGGATGAGAATGAATAAGAAACAACAATAAACTTAACAGACTTCACCCACTGTTTTTTTCTTTTGGTCAGGTGTTAAATGGTCATCAAAGAAATGATGGCAGAATTGAAGACTTCTGTGATGCTCAGATTTTCAAGTCTCACCCTTTATTTGCCAGAGATCCAACTGCGTTACAGCTGATGCTGTATTATGATGAAGTGGAGATTGCAAATCCCCTTGGTAGTAAAAGTGGAAAGCACAAATTAGGTAATTTTACAAACCCATATAGTACATAATTTACATGATACACTGTATTTGGTGTACTAAGAAAAATATGTAGAGGCAAACACTTATAATTAGTGTCCTTTTTTAAAGTGCTTTTAAAAATCTGGCAGTTGCACAACTCAACACTACAACAGGAACAAGTTAGCTATTTCTGTATTATTCGGTCATCTCAATACATAGTTGTTTCAATATACAAATTTGAGCAGTGAAAATGTACAAAAATTTTGGTTACTTCAAATAAGGTTTGCAAGTGAGCAGGAAAAACACTCTGAGTGAATATTTGTTGTTCTGTAAGCCAGGTACTACAATTTACAACTCAAGTCTATAAAGTTGTATCAAAACCTGAACTGTGTATAGAAATGAGCAGAAACCATTTCTGTCACAACAGTTCTGTGTGATTTGACTGGCAATATATGCTGTGTGGCCAATGCATTGTATTAACTACTACGAAAGGTCTTACACCATTCTTGAACAGTTCTATTTAAGTTTCCGGTACTACCACATCTAACTTTAAAAAAGAAATTTTGTAGTCCTAGGGCTACATTAGAATGGGAATTTTGCAATCTAATGTGAATCCGAAAAGGCATTTTGCTACCAGGAAATCCTTCCCCAAAAATATTCTGCATCTTAATAGCAGTTAATTAAATTAACCTCATAGCTGTCTTGCTACTGACACAGGGGAAACATTGCAACGTTGTGAATGCACATGTGATATTATAACTTAATGCTGACATTTTCCACTATAAGAAAGGAGTAACAATCATCATCACTAATATTTTTTGAAAAATAGTTAAATGTTTAGAGTATTAGAGCTGTGCCCCATGTTTTAAACTCAGGCTTGAGGAATCACTCCTGCTTATTGTTAAAAGTACACTTAATTTTATAACCAATAAATGCTTAAATGTTCTTTTCATTAGTTTATTTGGATTATGAAATAAGTTTATGCACATATTTTCAACTTTTCTTAGGTGTAGTGTATTATACACTGGGATTATATAGATCCAAAGCATCGCTCTCAGCTTGGTGCGATTCAACTTCTTGCTGTTGTCACGTCACCAATAATAAAAAAATATGGCATTGATTCCATTCTGGAGCCTTTCATGGAGGATCTTCACAAGCTGGAGCAGGTCAGATATTAAGTTTTTTTGGATTTTGTATGTTCTATTTCTTCATTAGTTCCTGGATTTTGTTGAAATGCTGCTTTTTAACTTTTAAATGGGAACTTTTTAGTGTGCAATAATTTCTCTGCCACAAGATTAAGGCAAAAACATAAAAGATATTCTGACACACATAAACAGAGACACGTACAGTGTGTACAATCATGTTGCAGTCCATGAATTTTAAATTCAGTTGGGTTGAATCCCAATAATTCATGTTGTTACTAGATGAAACAAAGAAAATTGTGAATCAATCTAGGTTGAAAATTTTTTACCTGAAATAAGTGAAATTCCTTTTAACTGCAACAATGACGTTGTACGATTTTTTCATAATACAATCATTACCTTATGACTTATTATTTACATCTTTTTTTTCTTAGGATGGAGGCCACCAGTTTATGATACACAACGAAAGAAAATCTTTTGCTGGAACAATTGCTTTTGTATCAGGAGATAATCTTGGCTCTCAGTTAATTGGAGGTTTCAAAGAACGTCCTGGTGCCCACATTAAATGTAGACATTGCATGGGTTCATCCAATGCAATAAAATCTATGGTGAGATTCATGTGTGTCATTTGTTATTATTATTTTAAATTCAGCAATTACCATGTACAGTAATGTTGCATGTAGGGTGGGAAGGAGAGGGGGGCATTTCATTAAAGTTGTACAACTTCATTTACACGCAACCAACATCCTAACAGAAGTAAAGATTTCAAAATTCTGTGCCTATTAAATAAAATGCACCTCAATTTTTCACACTTTATCATCTCAGGACTGATCTGTCTTCTAACAAAAATAGGTTAACAGCAATTTCTGTCTTTATAAATACAGTACAACTGTGACCATGAGTTGGTTTCTTTGGTAACAAGTGTCAAGCAATATAGTTTCTTACAGTCAAATGTCTAAAATCTATTGTTGAGCAGGATTTAATAGCTGCTGTCCCTATTTTTGGGGTGTCTGTAATACTGAATGGCGAGATGTCATCAAAGCAAGAGTTGACCATTTGTTCTTTGTTTTGTTTTGCAGTTTCGAGAGAAAGACTTCAATTTGAGAACAAAAGCTGGTCATGTTTATCAGTGTCAACAAGTTGAGGAAAGGCCAGAACTAGGAAAAGTTTATGGTGTTAATCGGTTGTCTGTTCTTTGTAACTCAAGATACTTCAGTGTAATTGATGGTCTTCCTGGGGATGTCATGCATGACCTACTAGAAGGAGTATTACAATATGAATGTAAAGAGATGCTCAAGATATTTATCAGTGAGCAAAAGTACCTGACACTGGATCAACTGAATGAAAGGATCAAGCGATTTGATTATGGATACTACAATGACAAAAACAAACCATCACCAATTAGTCTTCAGACCCTAAATAATAGTAACAACAGTCTTAAACAAAAAGGTTTGTATGACTAAAATAATTTAATTATTAATAAGAGAACTTATAGTAGTCTTGTTGTGTACTAAACTATGCTTGATGCCATTCTTGATAACTAAAGCAGGGGTTCCATTTAAGACCTTTGACAAGGGATTTTCTCCGGCTATTATAGTGAAAACTACAAATGTATTTAAACGTTGAAATTATTTAGTGAGGTGCTACCTTTAGACAACCTTTCCAAGAAAGATAAAAACTGTGAGGTCACATTTTTTAATATGTAGGTGACAGTGAGAGTGGGGTGTCAACAAGTACTCCAGAAGAGCCTGTAAAGGAAAAAAACTTAGTAATTTGCTTTTTTGTTTTTAATTCATTATATTTAGCTGCTCAAATGTGGTGTCTTGGAAAATTTCTTCCACTATTGATTGGCAGTCTTGTTCCAGAGGACGATGAGCACTGGCAACTTTTCCAGATACTCTTAGAAATAACAGACCTAGTTTTTTCACCAATGATAACTGAACGTTCTGTTGGAGTTCTGGAGGGGCTAATTGAAGAACATCACCAGACGTTTCTCTGTTTATACCCTGGCAGATCAATTATTCCCAAAATGCACTACTTAGTGCATTACCCATCTCACATGTATAAGTATGGTTATGTTTCTTTCTTTACTTATTTATTTTTAGTGATTGTCTTGTAGTCAAATTATACCATAAAGCTGAGGCATAATTAATTAATTATTACTTAATTTCAGAAAAAGGTAAACTAGTCTGTAGTAGTATGTATATGTTATAGGTCAAAATGAAATTGAGGTTAAAATTTTTCAATAGGTTGCTTCTCAATTTCCTTTGTCTCCTAGTCATGATTATTCATGAATTGAGGCTATGAGACAAAGGAAATTGAGAATCAACCTTGGTTAACAAATTTTAACCTGAATTTAATTTTGACCTGTAACATATACATGCTAAACCAGTGTGACAAATACTGTCAGTTTAAATCTTGTGATTGGTACCTACATCGTGTTCATAACACAGAAAATATCAAAGCCTTTTTGAAACACATGTTTAAGTCCCTTCAAACACCATTATATGAACAAACAGTTGTTTGTCAAGTTATTATCAATGTTTCTCCTTATAGTTTATAATTTGAACTTTGTGTTTAACAGGTTTGGCCCTATGGTCAGGACATGGTGTATGCGATATGAAGCAAAACATCACTATTTCAAAAGGCTTGCTTCATTCATGGGAAATTTTACCAATGTCCCATACACCCTGGCAGCACGGCATCAGAATCAACAATGCTATTTGTTAAGTGGGATGGCAAATGAAACTTTTCTTCAAAAGCAGACAGTTGTTGGTAGTTATTCAACATTATCTTTAATATTTGCACTATGACCACTAGCTGCAGTGTCAGCAGGACGTCCTCCCATCAGCTGAGATTTTTCAACTTTGTTGTGTTGAATTTGCAATATTTTGTTTGTTTTATTAGTACTGTACATTATTTTTTAACATAACACACCAACCTTGAAGCTTCCTTTTTGTTTGTAACTTCAAAAATATTTTGTACATACCATGTTGATGTAGGAAGTGGAAAACAAGTTGCAGCTGGACAGACTGATTATATTGATGAATTAAGGGAGCATTATTTGGAAATAGATGACACAGACATTATTTTTGAGTAAGCTTCAGCATTCCCTTTATATATTACACTTTTATATTATTCACAAAGGCTGACTTTTAGGTACTGCATACCAGCAAGACATCAGATGTGTATTAACAAAAATACTCATGATATTTCAGGCTTTTAAAAAGATGATGAGTGTTTGAGTCCCCCTCCTTTCATCCTCTTCTCTAAGATTCAAGAGTAGCATTTTCATGTGTAGCATTATATTACACACAACTGTATACATATGTAATATTTTTGTTCTTGTTGTTGCTTCCAGGGCAAAAAATGTGGTAATTCATGGCACTGAATACAGAATAGGAGCTTCTGTATTTGTTGGAGCTGAAGAAGACTTTGAACTACCAGAGTTTGGCTCTATCTTTAAAATTGCTGTGTTGCCAACTGAGGGAGTTTTCTTTTATATTAAGAAATTTTCTACAGTGGAAAAAGATAGTCATTTTCATGCATACAAAGTAAGACAGGAAATGAATCCTGAAAAAACTCTTCTACAACAGCATGAGTTGGCAACATATTTACCAGCACACGCTGTGAGACCATATGGATCTACAATGTTATGTGGGGGAATGTGATTTTTGTGGTCAAGAAGGGGTATATCTAACACCATCTGCAGTAACAAAATGAATGCAGCCTGAATGGCTAAAACTCTAACGTTGTTGACTCTGAGTTAGCCTGTGCACAGACACCGTTTTGCCTGCCCCCAAAAAAATCAGATAGAGAGACATCCCCCCAAAAAAGAATCAGGGAGAGAGACTCTTTGTCCCTGATTTTTTTTTAGGGGAGGGGGCCTCTCAGTATGCCTACTGTTAATATTAACATGTCCTCACTTGAAGCTAAACTTCTGGTAATCATTTCAGTTATATTGACTGATTTTAAAACAGTCATTTTTTACCACTCATGATACAAGTTGAATTAAGTTATTTAAATAGTTATCCACCACTTCAATGTATATTGTTAAAAAATTTTGGTTAGGAGCCTGTAATCTATTATTGAAATAGTTGAAGTAATAAAATTTGTTTATCTTCCATCATCAATGAGCTAGTACAGTTGTATGCTGCCCTGAATGGTCACATCTTTTTTGGCTAGTTGGAGAATCTTGTTCTCGGTTGAACTTAATTATGTAATTGGCATACATGAGACCACAAACAGAAAACAGAGTGAAAGGATGATGATTCCAAAAGTGGAAAAAAATTTAAACAATAATGAACCAAAGGCACGACTAATGCTTTTGGTTATTTACACCAATCAGAAAAGTTAAAGTTATGTGGACAACTAATTTCTGTGGTTAAAAATACTTATTGTTCAAGGTTATTTCAACTATTTTTATTTGTTGACAATTTCGACTGTTAAGAATGGTTATAATGACTATTAAACAATAATGTGCCAAAGGCACGACTAATGCTTTTGGTTATTTACACTAATCAGAAAAGTTGAAATATGACAACTAATCTCTGTGGTTAAAAATACTTATTGTTCAAGGTTATTTCAACTATTTTTATTTGTTGACGATTTCGACTGTTAAGAATGGTTATAATGACTATTGTTAATAGTTACGACCATTTTAAATAGTCATTTTAACTAGTCGAATTTTACAGTGCAGTGTGACTGGCCACACTGTAGCAGGCGACTACCACAAGATCGGCAAAGAAGTCACTAAAAATTGAAAAACTTATGGAATGTACTCTAATTTGTGAAAAGTTTTATTTGTCGGCAAGAAAACGCGACGGCCGTTCGGTCATTGCGCGCCACAATTGTAATCGTTGGCAACAGTAAATGCGTTAAAAGTCATCATTTTTGTGCTCAATTATCTCACTGTTTCAGTATATACTAGAACAATTATTCCCCCTTATTGTTCAGCTGAGTGTCGGTGGCTAGTGGTGGATGTTTACCTTGCCTCCTCTTGAATACGTGAATAATTGTTCTATATACATCATTTCCAATTCCAAGGTGTTTTCGAGTGTCTGACTTTTCTGAATTTGCAAAGTCAAAGTTTTCTATACAGCCGAAAGGTTGAGAGCCTTAATCTGTAACCAGTCAAAGGTAGTTATAAAAAATGAAAAGAAATGTAGCTATAATAGCTACAATGACAGACAGGATTACAAACACTGCCATCTGTATTTCCCAGATACACTGCTGGCCATATCTTGTAGCAGAAAGGGGAAGTTTGAAGTATTCACCCTTGACATTTTCATGAGGGAAGGTAGCTGTCGGAACCTCGCAGCCCAAGAAATCACACAGTGGTTTCCAACCTTCATTTACGTTGTACACCAACAGCTTTTCTGGTGGAACAAGGGACTTGACCCGATGGTTATGCGCACGGTATCGCTTGCGGATAACACAAGTTGACTTCTGATTTGAGGTGCCAAGAGCAGAATTAAGCGAGGAGTTGATAACAAAGGCCATTTTCCTTGACGTTGGGGACAGAATAGTACGGTAAAATCTTTGGTATTTCGGAACGCTATAAAGTACTTCAAGTTGATTTGTCAGACTTTTCAGCCAAGAATCTTCATCTCTTTCGCTCAAAATCACTTGACTATCAGGAAAAGCTTCTAATATTTCTTCCCAGAAAATATTCCCGGGTGCGTCCACCACCGCATCAACATCTTGATATAGTCGCTTCACATCTGGCTCGGCACCATTTTGAAAAACATCGACCCAGTGATCTAAGAAATCGAACACTTGCTCTTCAAAGTCAAAAACCGTGAAACCGAGATGACGCAAAGCTTTGGAGATTGATTTTGTACCAGTTTTCCCAACGCCTGCACAAATTATTTTCATGATGATCGCTAAGTTCAGATATTTCGAGATCGGGCAGTATTACATCGAGCTAGATCGATACTCTCATGTGATTAGTTTGCATGTAAGTACACGTGGCCCGGGACTTCCTTCACTGGCGAAAAGTGTCTGATTGGTTGACATGTGGGCGTCGTGACATCTCCTAATTCAACATAGCGGCCTAATCTCCATCCTTTGTATATTCCAGTGGAAAGAAAATTAATTGCCGCTTATGAGTTGCAAAATACATTTACGGAATTTGCTAGAATGGCCTGGACTTTTTATTATCCTTTTTCATCTATTCCTCTGGGATTCGTTTCCTGCTCGCGTTTTGGCTGGTTTACCAGATTCAACTTTGGACTTGTATAAGCGATCACTCTTCACCAAGGGCAACAATGTTTCTAAAAAAAGCCGGGTCACTAGAAAGAACGGCCATTGTTTTTTTTTACCGAAAAGATAAAGCAAAAATATGTTTATTCCAGCAAAACTTTCTGCTTTCTAAACTGAAGCTTGAGATTGAACTAAATGAACTTTGGTGTCTGCATTCATTTCGTATTCATTATGAACGGGTGCAATACAGTGCATATCAACACTTTAACGCCGTCTATGATCCGGTTTGGATAAAGAAAGTTTTAAAATTAGGGGAATACTGTATTTAAAAGAAGAGAACTATGATTGCTTGTAATCGATTCTGTCTCTCAAACCGAATCGATAATCCGACAAGAGTAACTAAAACACCTAAAAGTCTCATCGATGTTTCGATGCGGAATGTTATGCTACAACTGGTTCTTTACACCTTGGACTGAGCGATCACGACTTGATCTTTACAGTGCGAAAAAATAAGAATTCAAGGCCAAAGTTGCGCTTGATCGAGTTTAGGAGTATGAAGGATTTTAAGTTTCCTGACTTTTTGGCTGACTTAAAAAGGGTCCCATGGTCTTCGGCCTACACATTCGACAATGCCGATGATGTATGGGCTCATTGGCGAACACTTTTCAAAGATGTTTTTGACCAGCGCGTGCCCCTAAAGAAAAAGTGGATTCGGGGCGACCAGTTACCATGGATATCACCTGATTTGCTGCGTGAAATTTCGCACCGAAACAAATTATTCAAGCACCACAAGCGGAATCCTACATCTACTTCTTGGGATGACTATAAGCAGCAACGTAACAAGGTTACGTCGGTAAAGCGCAACGCCTTGAAAAGGTTCTGCTGTGACGCTTCCTTGAGTGTTAGACATCCGGGCGAATTTTGGACAAAAATGAAGCCCCTTTCGCCAACTAGTTCTGGTAAAAACATACAAAGCGTCATCCTCGTTGAGGGCAGTAGTGTTGTTTCCGACCCTGGGTGTGTGGCCAAAGTCTTTAGTGATTACTTCGCTAATATTATTCAGTTAGAGGATAGATCTGACACTGACTACACTGACCATCCTAGTATCAAGGCAATAAGCAATCTACGTTTCTCAAGTGAATTTAATTACTCCCCAGTCAGTACTTCATATATCCGTAACATCTTAAACCCACCTTAATCCGAGAAAGGCAGTTGGGGTAGGCGGCATTTCACCACGAATCTTGCGTTTGGGATCCCCAGTTCTTGCCGAAGAGGTGACTAAGTTGATCAACTTCCTGAATGGCCCATTGCCGTCTGAATGAAAGCAAGCGGGCCTTACTCCTGTCTTTAAACGGGGGATTGACACAGACAAAGCAAAATACCGCCCTGTTCGAAGGTATTTGAGAAAGTTATTTACGACCAAACTTGGAATGCATTTCATAGCGTTTTGTCCTCAAACTTATCTGGATTTATGAAAACTCACTCTTGCTGCACTGCATTGCTAAAAATGACTGAAGAC